TTGTGAAAAAACCAGAATTCACATGCTTAAAAGGTCATTGATTATTAAAGCATTCATTATAAGTCTAAATCCAAGACTCAATGGTTGAAAAGAAAGAATTTAAAAATCTTAATCTGTCAGATTTTTTAGGAATGCTTACATAATTCAAAGGGCAGACATGTCTTGAAAAATATATTATAGTTTAAAACTTCTCGTACAGTAATTGTTAGTTTTTAGTATGTCAAATCTATACTGTACAGTTCTGTAAAAATATTGTAAGTTTTCGTACCTGGCCGAGACTTATATAATAAATGTTTTTGGTTTTTTAATGTTTTTTTTATTCAAAGATTTTTTGTCCCATGCTAACGCTTTACATTTAAGGAACAAAATTATTTAACCAGATTAAATGATGTCTTAAAAGTTGATCGTCCTCACACGGAATACAAAAAGAAAAGTTTTTCTTACCGTGGTGCTATTCTCTGGAACACACTGGATGAACATGTTAGAAATGCTTCAAGTGTTAAAACACTTTTGTAAAATTTTTGGTCTTTGCTTCATTTTTTGTATCTCGTATTTGTATATAATTTTATCTTTTTTTTGTGATTATGTGTTATTTTTATTTTATACTGTTATTTTGCAACTTCAATGACAACACGGCCTTGTAGAATAACACCCCCTGGGTGAAACAAGCTTTCCATGTAAAAATAAAGTTTTAATAATAATAATAATAATACTGAAAAAATCATAAAAATATTTTAAAAAATTAACTTGCCCATTTTGAAGTAACATAAAAGTTATTAACTTGAACATAGAAATTTAAAGTTTATGTAAAAAATGTCTACAAATCAGTTAACAGCGAAAAATGATAGAAACACTTCCGGTCACTGGAATTTTTTTATTATTTTTATTATAATTTTTCGGTTTAAAAATCAGGATGCACATTTTTTTAATTCAATCATTTTTATGCACAAGTTAATAATTTGTATGCTATTGCAGTATGAGCAAGTTTATTTCAAAATAATTTTTTATCATTTTTTAAAATTAGCAAGGGACAATATCCATCTTTAATTATTTACAACAACATAATAGCAAATCACAAAAAGTTTATAGAAAATAGTATACAAAAATATTTCCTTAAAGCATAGGTTGTAATTTTTGTGTCATAATCAGGACTGGATCCACGGGCCATAAGGAGGCTAAATCAAAAAGAAAAAAAAGGAAAAGAAAGGAAGATGAGGGGAGGGAGAAAAGAAAATGGTATAGAAAGTGTTACATGATACATTTAATCAAGCTGTCACTGTGTACTCGTATTAATTTTATTTTACAAATTGACTATACCCTGTACAATATGAACCCCCACCCCACCTATTTTCAGCCTGTGAGTGCAATGATGTGTTATATTTGGCAGTGGATCCAGGGGCCATGGTGGAGGCTAAAGAGAAAGAAAAGGAAAATGAGGAGAGAGAAAAAAAATTGTATATAAAGCACTGCATGATACCTTCATAAAAGTTATCACTGTGTACTCATATTGATTTTATTTTAGAATTGACTATACCCTGTACCATGTGAAAACCACCATCCCCCCGCCCCTACTGCCCCTAAACTAACCCCTATTTCCAGCCTGTGAATACAATCATGCAGCCTGCTAGAACAAGCCTAAAGTGATATTTTTGTTTGGATATTGCCTAGATTTCTAAACATAATAATCATGTATTTTTTTATGACTAGTTCCCCCCCACCAACCCAAGATGTACTTTTCGAAAAGTCTGAGAAGTTTTTTTTTTTGTTGTTTTTTTGTTGACTTAGAGAACACAGAACTTTCAAACAATAATAATTTGCATTAAATAACAGATAAACATGTTTTAAGGATGACACAGTGTTTTTATTCGATAACAACCAACTTTCCAATCCAGATCATCTAAACTTTGGCATAATTCTACGACATGAAGTCAGCATAAATGCCACTGATAATAAACCAATTTCAAAAGTGAAATTTGTGCTAAATTATTATAGAGTACAACAATAGAACCCCTCCTTTGGGCACTTTCTTGGCCGTGAATCAAGGGGAAATATATCTTTTAAAATTACGGCCAAAGGACGTCCCTGATGAGGGGACACTTTTGGTCCTGAAGGTGTCGCCATAAATGTGGGTTCTACTGTACTTGCAATTTATTTCAAATTTAAGCAGTCTATTTAACTAAAGTTTGTATTAAATAGTTTTTATTACTTTTTTATGTGAATAACTAATTTAAATATATCATATATATATATATCATATATATCATATATCATTTATTTCGCCTCAGTAAAATTATAAAAATTACAAACAAAGACATTGCACAAACAAAGGTAAATCAATGAGGCAGGATTGCCTAAATGTTATAAATAAAATAACAGTCGAGAGGCTCTCCACAAAGAAATACCAAACACAAAGAAGTAACATGAAAGTTAAAATTTAAAAATCAGTATAAAAAGTTACATTGCATTATTAAAATTTAAATATATAAAAATTCCAATCCTTTAAGTATTTTTAAAACAGTAAAATTGAGATAAAATATTGGTAAAAATTGCATTTTATTTTATTTAAAACATTAGGCTAGGTCAGTAAGGTATTTTTTTAATTTATATTTAAAAATATTATAATTAGTTAATAATAATTGATCACCGAGATCCACAGGCAGGCCTCTGAAAAGTCTGACAAACGAATTAAAAACAGAATGATGAAAGCTGCCAGTCCGAGCGATGAAATTATTACGTAACTTAAGTTGGTCAGCGTGTCTGGAATTTACAGAAATATATTTAAAAACATCCAAATCATACATGTTATATAAACATTTGGCTACAAAATTAATACAAAAATAGTCAATACGATTACTAATGGAAATGAGATTAAGACGCTTTAAACGTTCAGAGTACGGGATACTGCCTGCGTATCTCGGAAAGCAGATACGCGTAACTCGTCTTTGAACGGACTCAAGAGTAGCAATATCTTTTTTATAGATTGGAATCCAGGCAGGAATACCGTAATCTATAAAAGGCCTAACTACAGCTACGTACAACCTCAAAATTATATCTTTATCGTGACATTTAACGATACGTCTCAACTTTTACCGTGATCATTTTTATTTGACAACTTCTTTAAGTACTTTTTATATGATTTTTTAATTCTGGATTTAAGATCGTTCCGAATGTGTTTATACCTATCCCACTTAATATCATTATTTACAGATTTAATAGCAGCTTTATAAAATCTATTCTCTTTTCTTATTAAACGAAGAATTTCGTTTGTAATCCATGTCTTTTTAGGGCGTCGCTTAGCTTGCCTTAAGGGCACAACTTCATTAATAGCGGCAATAAAAACGGATTTAAAATTTGACCATAACATATTTACATCTTCGGAATCATAGTCCCACTCAATATTCGAAAATTTTTCAATAAAAATAGGAATACTAATCTTAGAGTAATCGTAAAACATGCCTGCTGGTCTTTTTAGTTTCTCTTTTAAAATATTCAACTTAAATAAAACACCTTCATGATCACTGTCAACACCCGGATGAGGTTGAATATCAGTTATCATATCAGTATTACTAGAATATACATGATCGATAATTGTATTATTTGTGCCTTTATTATAATGTGTGTAAAAGTTCACACATTGCGTTAAATTTAAGACATCAACAGAGTTTTGCATGTTGCGTTGTTCCGAGGAGATTAGACCCGTAGATTTAAAATTAAAGTTTAGGTCACCAGCAATAATTATTAGACTGTATAGATGCGAGTCCACCAAAACGTGTTCAATGCATTCCTGAAGCTTTTCAAAAAAGTCAACTTTGCTATTTGGAGGTCTATATAGCGTACCTGCTAGTATTTTCCTGTTGTTGGTTGTTATTGTACACCAAACAATCTCAATTACGGCACAGGTATAACTTTGACAGGGAGTCGCACGAAGATCTTCATGAACAGCAAAGATAACGCCACCTCCGTGACGATTTCGATCATTTCGAAAGACTACAAATTCTTTGGGAAATATTTCAGAAGATTGTATGTAGCCGTCTAGCCATGACTTGGTCATAAACACGACGTCAATCGACTCGGATACGAGCAATGACTGTAGTCGTAAAGACTTATTAACAATACTGTGTGCGTTAAGATTAATACATTTAACAGCTCCAGATAATTTATTCACGGAATGGTTGGTTATGTAACCGTTCCGCATACCACCTTCATCTTTGCCATTTTGCGGTCCTGGATTTTGTTCGATATCCCCGCATAGATACAGTTTATTAAATGAATCCAAAACAAAAAACGTTTGAAAGGTAGAAGTTGAATTTTTGTACCTTAATACGGTGCTGAGAAATGTCCATGATGAGTGTTTCGTCGCAGAAATCTAGGCCTAATTTGAATCGGTAGTAGTCCCGGCCGACTATCCCTTTGCCTGGGTTGGTTAAGATATACCAGGGAGGGCCTGGTCAGATTCAGCTCAAACAACTCAAAAAAACATTTTGTATTGCCGATAAATGCAAAACGTAAATGATGTACGGGCCCTTCATAATCCAATTGCCTCGTACAGTTAGATGCAATGCAAATGTATATCAATAATAAGGCATACATGATGATTACTGTACTTGCGTACCAGGCTAGAGAGCTACAAGTGAACACGTCTTGCTCCGACGAAACCCAAACACAAATACTTATTCAAATTTCACACTTGATTGATTGATGTGAATAACTAATTTAAATACTTATTCAAATTATTACTGGTACTGTAATTGTTTTTTAGGCGGTTACCATGTTTTTTTTATATATTATATTATTAATATTATATAGCATTGTGATATAAATTTCTATATAAAATACCTTATATTTTATCCAACTCCTTTACATTATTATCATTCACAACTATCCACTTTATAGAATCTGGAATAATTTTAATTTAATGTTTTCTTTCCTGTAAATTTATTATCAAAATATATTAATTTTATTCAAAGTATTACTACAAAAGAGTGAAGATAATTATATTACATACAGTAGTTTAGGATATCAGATTATTCTAGTACTTAATAATTATATATTTTGATTGAATTATCACCATAATTTGCTACTGCAAATCTACGTGGATAATATGAAATGATAGATAATCCTTGTGGATTATTTATTCCATCTTCTGCTTTATCAATTCTTTTGATGAAACTTCCATCACTACTAAAAAGTAGTAGCTTGTGTTCGCTTGATAAAATGATGTTGTCGTCCTTATCAATTACTATTCCACCTCTCTCAATTGCACTACCTGTTCTGAGTAAGTCTTTTAAGAACCCTCCCTCATTATCAAATAGTTTTAATATCTTTTCATCAGGCCTACACACCAATGCCAGAAGATGCCCCTTATTTGTAAGAGTAACATCAAGTACTTCCAACTTAGTTTTACCTTGTGAGTCAATTTTCCCGGTCATCAGGCCATTCTCAATGTCAAACATTAACACACAGTCATTATCCCAATCTGCTACATACACCACATTTGATGCCTCATCCACATGGATCCCAGCTGGATCCCCCAGTACTCCCTGACCAATTGATTTGATCACCTCACCATTCATCTTAACTATTTTGATGCATTTGTTGCCTTCATCACTGACTGCTATGTTACCATTCTTCATCTTGCACATTTTAAATATTTCCACACCTTGTGGTAGTGTAACCTTACCCATATATTCTCCAGATTGCTTGTACTTGTACATTTCATTTGTCCGACATGAAACTAACAATGATCCATCTTCACACTTAACTAAGCTAATGTAATCTCCAACAGTAAATTTTTTGATTACCTTAATGGTTTTTACTAATCCTTTTTTCTCTACTTTGGCTGCTACCATCAGTGACTGGTTGATTGGTTCATCATCAGCACTCATTAATCTGTTAATTCCTGAACTTTTACATTTTCTTGACACAATATAACCTCTATAATTTTCATCTTCTTCAACTTCAGTGATGTTTGTTTCTCCTGCTGGATGTGTGCATGTTGACGCTGGTTGATTTTCATCTACATCACATTCATCTGTTTTGATTACTTTTGCTAAACTATATTGACCTTGGCTTGCAGACGCCTTTCGCTTTAATGTCAGAGACTCTACTACTTTGGTTTTCGTTTTCGTTTTCGTTTCTACCTCTCCTATGTCACATTGCTGCAAAGAAGCAATATGGCGTTTGTTTGTAATGAAGAAAATTTGACCATCATCTTCTGGCTCTGTTTTGGGCATTCCATTGATTCTATCCTTTAGTGCTGTAATAACTGGTTCACTTGATTGCATTGCAGTTGCTTCATCATTATTCAAAAGCTGATTAAGAGAACACACTTTTGTATTTACATCAGATATTATTGTTCTAATTTCATCCACTTGCTCATCATTTACCTTCTTTTTCTTTTCATAGACTGCCTCCACTTTTCTTTTCATTTTATTTCCATTCTCCATAACTGTCTGGATTACATCTTGCACAAGATTGTCAATATCTCGCAAACTAGTATCTCTATATTGTTTTAATATTCTAGTATTTTCAGTAACTGCTTTGAGACCGTCTTGTAATTTGTTTACATAGTCATTGGCAGCTTCTTCCAGTGTTGCTGACGTTTCTTTAAATATTTGAAACGCTTCTGAAATACTGATTGTTTCGTGATTCCCTTCCCAACTCCTGTGGACTGTGAATGTGCAATTCATACATATTGGAGTTTTACAATTTTGGCAGTAGAACTCCAACTGTTTAGTGTGAAGTGAACACAGTGGAGGATTTAACAAGGCAAAGTCTTGTGGAGTCATTGAGTGCACATCCTCAACTGTATGCAGCTTATGATTTGCCAAAATTGGTAATAATTTATGATTGTCTGTACAAGAAGAGCACAAGTAATGTCTGCAAACCTGGCAGTAGTTTTCTGCTGTTTTTTCACAAACACATTTCATGATCTGATCTTCTGGTGTAGCATATTGGTGAAAAGTTTCTAATAAATTATTCAGGAAAGTGTTTGGTGGAAGCACCTGAACCCCACCCTCTGGAATGGGATATGACTTTGAGCAAGTTGGACAAGTCAACTTACCCGTCTTCTTAACCCAGTCCTCAAGACAAGTCAAACAAAAACTATGGAGGCAGTTGAGAGATTTGGGGTTTTGAAGTCTTTTTGAGCATATGACACACTCCAGGACTTTCTCATCAATATCTTCTAGAAACTTATTAAATCTACTTGTAGCCATCTTGATTGTCCTGTTTAAAATGATTAATTAATGTCATTTTAGTCCTTAGCACCCTGTGCTCCCTCTGAGTTGGTGGCAGCGGCGGTGCCAGAATTTGTCTGACATAGGATCGGTTGTCTTTGACAGCTGGGGCCTGATGTCCTTGATGAATAGTTTAATTTCCCTCAGTGCCGCCACTGGTAAGTTAAAGTGCTCTATGTAAGAAATCGAGAGAAAGTCGTTAATAGCATTTTTGTGCTATAAAAAATTAACTAAGATCAGATTAACTCTAGTATATTCTATATCTACTACTTGATTTTGTCCAATATTATTATGAGAGTAAGAGTTTTTGTATGCACGATTCTATAGTACTTCACTTTCTATCAGCTGGCCTATATTATGAGGCTTTCCATTCCGAAACCAGCATACTGTCACTAATTGTTAAACTGAGTACTTAGCGTAAATATGACAGTATTGCATACTTTAGTACAGAGAAGCTGTGATACTTTTACTCATAACTTTGGCAATAATAAGTCGATTTCAGTAAATTATCAATCATTTAAAAAAATAAACTCCACATTCCCAAACACAAAAAAACTTCATTTCAACATAATATTAGATACACTGGACCTAAAATATGGAATTCGCTCCCTCTAAACCTATCTGATGCACCATCCAAAAAAATCTTCATTTCTAAAGTGAAAAATTATTTAATCAATAATAATATTGATTAAATACTTTTCCATATGTTGATTGATATTTTACTATTTAACAGTAGCTTTAGTTTTTTTCCCTTATAATTCCTATTATGTATGTATTTTCATAATAATTTTTCATTTATATTTTGAAATACTCTATTATCATTATTATTATTATCCTTTAAAATGTTTGTCTTTTTTTCTTGTTTGTGTTGTTAATTGTCTTGGGCACATCCATCACAAGCTCTGCTTTTCGGAATTGTGCCCCCTTCAATACTTATGTTATTTATTTGTTACATTTCAATGAATATTGTAAATTACGTTTTGAAGGAAATAAATGTTATTTTGATTGATTGATTGATTGATTGATTTTAAAGCTTATAATGTGAAGAATAAGAATATATTAAAATCAGTTTTTATTTTTTGTCACATGGTGGGTTAGCATGGCAAGCCTCATTATATTTAACACAGTGTGGGTTAGAGGTCACCTTTCGTATACTTGTGCGATAAAAAGTAATCATTAACTAAGATTCTTTGACAAGGGGAATCCTGATTCTTATATATATTTTTTGTTAAACTTCAGTATTTTATCTTTTGTAATATGCAGATTACAATTAAAGAATATTCATATTATTTCTGCCAGTGTTCTCCCCAGGGTAGTAGCTCTAATGGCTACACATTTTAGCTGCAACACAAAATAGCAGTTATTAGTGGAAAAATACCACTTACAGGATGTAAACAGAAGAAGGTCAATTCATACTTCCGCTTCTTTATTACTGAAATTATCTATTCTTTAATTATTTTCAAACAATTTTTAAATTTTTTTTATTCCTTGTTATTGTGGTTAGGTTTGCTTTTTATATTCGTGTCTGTTGTTTTGTATTAAGTTTTTTGGATGTGTATCACTGTTAAATGTGTGTAGTAGGCCTTTCCGAATAAATTACTTATTTATACTATGATGGGTGATCAATAACCAATTTTTGGAATGCAAAAATGCAGTAGCAAGGTAGCCTGTCTGAATAACCGGTTAGGAATACTGTAATTGATTATTTTGAGTTCAGCAGAATCTAAGACCCTTTACTACAAACTGATGTTAGATACTGTATTTTTATTTGCAATATTTATGCAGACCCTATACGTAGGTATGTATATAGGGTCTGTGGCAAGATTATAGTACTTAATCTTTGTCTGACAGCTGCTGCAGCCTGTATCAGTGGTTCCCCCGAAACTTTTTGCAATATTCACAGACCACTTGGGACATGGCAGAAGTCTTCACGGACCCCCACTGTATTACTCATTGTTCTTATAGATATTAAGAAGATGATCCGCCACAAAAGTACAACATTAAGCAGTGGCGAATCCTGGAATACAAATGGTGGGGGGAAGGGGGTGGAGGCAGAAAGTATATTTCACAGATAGGAAAGTACCTCAGCCTCACTATGGTGGGGGCTGAGGTCTAAAATTTTGATGGTTATGGCACTTCTAGATGACATGAAATTGCACTGCTTTCTATCAGATCACCAATAATATACCACTGGCATTAAAATATAATGTTAGTTTAAACAATTTACAGTGTATGAAAGTCCATGTCAAAGGTATTTCATTATTGACAAAAGGCATGATTAGCAGTAAGATGCTCTTCACACAAGAAAAATTGGTCTAACTTTGCAACCCTTTTGACTTGGCGGACCCCCTATTATTTTTAGTGGACCTAAGGAGGGAACCACTGGACTATACAGTTATATCACATTAAAAACTGTGTTGGGTTAGAGGTCACTTCCTCATTGGAATAGTAGATCGAATGTTTTGACTGTTTCTGATGCAACCAGCTCGCACCCCTACTCTATGCTAAGAATGATCAATCATGTCTCTCAAATTATTGTAGTCATCATTTGACCCATAATTGACATGATAGCCTGCAAACACATTAATTACGCAGAGTTAACATTAATTACAATTAATAATCTTTTGCAATTATTACTTTAATATTTAAAAAACTTGTGTATGATTAATAATCTTTTGAAATTAATACTTTAATATTAAATAAAAACTGGTGTAAAAACTTTACAGAAATTATGCATTCTGTTCTTTCCTTTAGTAGCTATTTATAGATCATGAGATTTTTTATAAGCTTACCAAAGTTATCTACATACTGTCTGTATGGTACTAAGATCCTGTAATGAGGATTTTGATTTGCAAATTATATGTTATATTATTTATCTATACAAACTTACCTCAAAATATATTTTAATTGATGGCTAATTGAACACTTATTACCTGTAAATTCCTATGTTTAATTGTTGTGAGTGCTGCTGCAATGTCACGTCACCAACACAGTTGGGTTTTCCCTATTGCTGATCACGTAGGTTGGGGTCAAGTGTCACTTGAAAACTACAACTTTACTACTGTATTGATATACTGTAGTATCCAGACAAATTAGGTAACAAATTAACATTTTGGAAATATCACTGAATTTTTTTGAATCTGAGAAATAAGATTTTAGTAATAAAAATCAACCATTTTGCATCTCTGTGTAATGTACCCTTTTTGTTAAATGGAATAGTCTATGACTATTTAATTATAAACACATGTTAACATCATCAGATTATATCAAAATAACATTAATAGGGACCATGGCATACAAGCTACTACATTAGAGGCCTCAGGAGACAGCCCCTTGGATATAGTTTGGGAAATCCTAAACACTAAAACAACCCAAAGGTAGTTTACCCTCATTCATGTTCATCAGAACCAATTAGGAACCAATAAAAAATGGTTAGTTTAGCACCCTTGCTCGCATGTCTTCTATAGTATTGAAAAAAAAAATTTGGAAATTTTTTTTTTTATATAAACCCATATTTTTAGTAAAATTAGTAGTTTGTATTCTCAATTATGTATTTATTTATTTTTTTGAGTATCAATGCACAGCAAATAACCCAAGGGTGATATTAACAGCAAATATCCCAAGGGTGATATTTAAAGCATTAGCAAAATAAATAATAAAGAAATTCCTCCCTCCCCCATCACTTTTCCAGTCTAGATAGGGGGATAAACAAATAGTTTTTTTAAAGGCCATGAAATTTATAGCTTTATTTATTAGTTTGTCCTTATAAATGTTTTGACAATATGGTTTGATATACTTACAATAATATGCCTGCCAACTTTGTTGGTGTCTGATGCGCGAGACAAAAAAAGAAAATTTGTATATAGCGCCCTCTGTAAAAATCTCAATATAAAGCATCCTATATACTGTATTTTAGTGGTGGAACTGCTACTAATTACAGTTGTCAGTCGGTATAGCTTTGTTAAAAGATATCATTATATACTTATATTCACATTTTAATGAGGAATTAACTTTTTTTGATTTTAAGGTATAATCAGCCTATAAATTTTATCTTTTATAAAAATGTTAATATAATGCTAGAGATAAGGCCCAATAAAAAAAATTATTAGTTTATCACCCTCGCGCGCATGCCTTCTATGGTACTGGGGAAAAAAATTATTTTGAAAAAAAAAATAATTTTTTTTATTTATTTATTTTTGTCATTTATTTTATTAAATAGTTAGTAGATATTGTTTGCATTATCTAATTCTTGTTTTACTTTGAATATCAATGCACCAGCAAACAACCCAAGGATAATATTTGGCTTTAGCAAAGTAAATAATAAAAAAAAAAGCCTCCCTCCCTCATCGCTTTTCCTGCCCAGATAGGGTGATAAACTAATAGTATTTTTTATAGGGCCTAATACAACGTATAGGCATGCAGGGCTGTTGGAACCGCACCGGCAGCACTGGCTTTGGCCAGACCACTTTTTCTCAATTTATTATTACTTTTTTTAAATAATTATATAATGGTACCTATAAATTATACGAATTAATTATTAATATCTTTTTAATGTTATTAAATTTAAACAAAATTCCACCATGGATGCACTTGTTTTTGTATTGTTTATGTACACTTTAACTTTTGAACTTTTTTTTACTGCCAATCCTTAAATTTAGTATATTAGCCTAAGATTGATTTTGAAAATGTTTAAAATGAACATAAAATAACAATTAAGTAAAAATACAGTAATTTAAAGATGCCCTGTAAGGCCATACTCCTATAGGAGGGTACCGCATGAACATTGCACACCAAGTCTGCTTTGAGGATTGGTCTCTTGTGAGGATTGGTCTCTTGTGAACAATTCGCTAATAACGTAGCACAAAAGCATGCTCCGATCAAAGTTTTTAAGCCTATACAGGCACTATTACTCCCACATTATCCTATAGTCAAAACTTAAATTTAGTAAAAGTACAATATACACACATATTTTTACGACAATAAAGTATTTGTATTTGTATAATAATACATTAGTAATCTATATTCCAGCCAAGAAACCTAGATTCAGAAATACCATGTTATCCTAAAGGTACTATGGATTACTTCTGTATGACAGTAATAAATTGAAATAATTCCCTTTCATAAAGAACATTTTTTCTTGCCCCGAATTCTAGAAATATAGGGATGGTCAGCGGGGGATGGTTTTACCATGGATCACTTCAGAAAAAGTGTAATTTTGTTAACCTTATATGTGTCAAGGGCCCAACTGTAAGCCTACTCTAGAACCAGGTCTCTCTCTCTTTCTCTGTCTATTGCTGTCATATTTTTAAAATGTGGTCACCTCAGCCCCGACAATGGTCGGGTGGAGGTGGGTATGCACCCTAGTCCCTTTTACATGTCTGCCAATGTACAGCAGGATGGGGATGGGAAGGAGGCTCTATCATCTGCTATTTCTGGGTATCCAGAGGTGCTATATTTCCAAAATTTCCTGGTGGGACTGAGGTGGGTAGATTCTCTCCATGCTATCTTGTGGCTGTCTCCTGAGAGAGGGAATGGTACCAGCTATACAGACTGTCAGCATATTTCCGGATATTCAGAAGTGCCAAAAAAGTTGTACACTTCATATTGCGGGCAGGGGTGGATATGCTCTCAGACCCCACTAACTTTAAATCATGTATCCTTAGAATGGGGTGGCAATTTCAAAACCAAATGTTTAAGCGCCTCCCCCTTCCCCAAACGGCCGGACCACTTTCAAAACGCTTCCGAAGGCTATGGCATAAGACGTAAAAAGTGAGTGCTCGTGCGCGAGACTCGCGCATTATGCGTGAGAGTTGGCAGGTGTACAACAGAAATGCATTCATGAACAATTAATAAACAAAGAGATACAACATTCAAGGAAAACACAAGAAAGTCAAAGGCTTTTTTTCTCTGGTCCTTTTAATAAACAATAAAGCAAATATGATATACTAAAAACTGCTGCTTTTAATACACAATAAGACAAATATGATATACTAAAAATTGTATTACTCAAAGTTTATATAAATTATATTTCTAACTAGAAGATGAATAGTGAAGTCAATGTACTGTAAGTTGCATATTAATTCTAGGAAAATCTTATTGGCTAACTTGACTATTAATAATATTATTATACATTTTTGCTTCTTCAAATTTCTAAAATTAACATGGTATTTCTGTAGGGCAAAGTATGTTTTAACAAAATAAAGCGTTTATAATTATTTTTTAACAAAATTAATATTTTGTTTAGTTTTAAAAAAAGTTAAAATATTTTATATTATGCAGTAAATATTTATTTTATGTTTAGCAAACCTGAATCAGTGATAATTTTTACATTTTTAAAATTTGTAATACAAAATATACAAAGATAAGTGAAAACACTATAGCGACTATGTAGCGATTCTATGGAAACCAGGCTTTATTGTGCCCTAATGATTAAAAAAATTATTGTATAAATATAAAAGCAATACACAAAAACTTCATTACACCCTCCATCTAACACTGGCATAATCTAGTGTCAATGGTAATAGTGGATTATTAAATATCTATTTTGATATAATCTAGATGCAGTTGCCTAACCGTGCAAGTGAGTGGACTCTGGAAATGTGCCAAAAATGCAATACTATCATTTTAGATTAGAGGACATTAAAAAGTCTGTAACATTTCCACTTGAATAACCAATGGTTACATAGGTCGTAGACATCTGGTGATAGTTGGTCATGTTGCTGTCAAGTGAATTTCTTTTTATTTTGTAGTAGATTCTGCAATTTAAGTTAACCTATGTGTTACACAAAGGCCTACAATTTAAAAAGGAATTATATAAGCATGACTGACAGAGAGACCAATGTATTAATACAGTGATACAGTATATGTTAGTTTTTAACCATTACCATTCCTTCAGTTTAAAGTTTTCTGCATATAAAAAAGTGAGGACAGAGACTTCAGTAATTATAAATTTTTATAGTTTTATCGCCATCATTTGCTACTGCAACTCTCCGTGGATGTTGTGAAATTAAGCATACTCCACCTGGATCGGTGATTCCATTTTCTGGTTTATCAATTCTTTTGATAAAATTTCCATCGCTACTGAAAAGCTGAAGTTTTTGATCACTTAATACAATTATGTTGTCATCCTCATCAACTACTACTCCTTGAAAATCCAGAATATCATGCTCATCACCTTTGATAAGCAGTCTTATTAACCTTCCTTCACTATCATATTGATACAATCTATTTTTGCAAGACTTTTTAGGATTACCCACTAATGCAAGTATATGTTCTTGATTTGTAAGTGAAATATTAATGTCTCCGTTTATATTGCCTGGTAACATAATCTTTCTGATCATCTGGCTACTATCAATGTCAAACATAAACAAACATTCATTAGTATAATCTGCAACGTACAAAACATTTGATGCCTCATCCATGTGGATCGCAGCTGGATCTCCCAGTATTCCCTGACCAATTGATTTGATCACCTCACCATTCATCTTAACTATTTTGATGCATTTGTTAGCATCATCACTGACTGCTATGTTACCATTCTTCATTGTGTACATTGCAAATATTTCCACACCTTTTGTTAAAGTAATCTTATCAATATATTCTCCAGATTGCTTGTACTTGTACATTGTATTTGTCATACATGAAACTAGCAGCGATCCATCTTCACACTTAACAAAGTCATAGTATTCCATGTCTTTGTCTAATTTAATAGTATTTACTAATCCTTCTTGTTCTACTTTGATTATCATTGGTGACTGCTTAATTGGTTCACCATCAACACTCACATCTAGTCTACAAACACCTGGACTTACACATTTTCCTGTCACAACATAATCTCTATTGTCATCTTCATCAACTTCAGTGGTGTTGGTTTCCCCTGTAGGATGTGTCCATGTTGCCTTCAGTTGATTTGCATCTATATTACATCTATCTGTTTTTATTATTTTGGCAACAATTACTTGACCTTGGGTCACAGATTCCGCTCCCTTTAATGTCAGACCATCTGTCATTGTTTGTGTTACATTTCCTATGTCATATTGCTGCAGAAAAGTAATGTGGTGTTTGTTTGCAAAAAATAAAATTTGTCCATTATCAGTTGGCTCTGTCTTAGGCATTTCATTGAGTCTGTCCTCCAGTGCTTTAATTACTGTTTCACTTGATTGCATTGCTGTTGCTTCATCACTGTTTAACAACTGTTTAAGAAAACTCAATTTTGTATTTACTTCAGATATTATTTTTTTCAGTTCATCTATTTGTACATCAATTTCTTGCCTTTTCTGTATGTAGATTATCTCTACATTATTTTTCATTTCATCTCCTTTATTCGTGATTGTTTTAATCATTTCCTGCACAAGACTGCCAATATCTTGCAAACTTGTCACTCTATTTTCTTCTAATTTCACAGATGTTTGAATAACTGCTTTGAGGCCATCTTGTAACTTGTTTTCATAGTGATGTGCAACTTCCTCCAATGTTGCTGAAGTTTTCTTAAATGTTTGGAATGCATCTGATATGCTGATTGGTTTATGTTTCCCTTCCCACACTTTGTGGTTTATAAATGTGCAATGCATGCATATTGGAGTTTTACAATCTTGGCAGTACAACTCCAAAGGTTTAGAGTGAAGTGAACACAACGGAGGATTTAACAAAGCAAAGTCCTGTGGAGTCATTGAGAGTACATCCTCCACTGTATGTAGCTTATGATTTGCTGACATTGGCAATAATTTATGATAGTCACTACAAGAAGAGCACAAGTAATGTCTGCAATCCTGGCAGTAGTTTTCTTCTGTTTTTCCACAAATGCATTTCATGATCTGATTTTCTGTTGTAAAATATTGGTGAAAAGTTTCTAATATGTCATTCAGGAAAGTGTTTGGTGGAAGCTTCTGAAGTCCGCCCTCTGGAATGGGATATGATTTTGAGCAAGTTGGACAAGTCAACGTACCCTTCTCCTTAACCCAGTCCTCAAGACAAGACAAACAAAAACTATGGAGGCAGTTGAGGGATTTGGGGTTTTGAAGTCTTGTAAAGCATATGGCACACTCTAAGACTTTCTCGTCAACATCTTCCAGAAACTGACTAAGTTTACTTGTAGCCATCTTGTAGTCCTGTAAATGATTAATTAATGTAAATATTATGTCATTTCACTGGTCATGGGTTGACAAACAGTACATTGTGGTCCCTACTGTAGCACCCTTTGCTCCCTCTGAGTATGGTAGTGGTGATGGTGCCAGAATTTGCTCAATTGACATAGTTGACTATGAGGGATGAGGGCCTGACTTATGTCCCTGATGAATAGGTCAATTTCCCTCAATGTCGCCACTGGTAATTAGTCAAAGTTCTGTCGGAGATAGAGAAAGTTATTAGACAACCATAATTAGTTATTATAGCATTTTTGTGCGATAAAAAATTAACGAAGATCAGATTAATGCTAATTATTTTGTATCTACTGCAAAATGATTTTGTCGAATATTATGAGAGTAAGAATATTTGTATGCAAGATTCTATAGTACTTATCATTGTCTGACAGCTAGCCTATATCAGGCTTGCCATCCCGAAACCAACATACTATCGCTAATTCTTAAACTGTAATTAGCATAATGGCAGTGTTGTATACATTAGTATAGAGAAGCCGTAAATACATTTACTCATAACTTTGGCAATAATGTAAATTCCAGTAAATGATCCATCATATTACTGTAATTCTCTTAATGTGGAGGATGAGAATATATAAAATTCAATTTTCATTTTCACTCGTAGGGTGGTTTAACATGGCGGGGGCGGGGCTTACTCTTCAATATTTCTATACGGGGAGGTGCCGCATTTACAGGGTACTTTTTCGCGGACTTGGTAGCAAAAGTGTGGCAAATATCGGGGGAGTTCCAACATTTATGGGGTATACTTGCAGGGACTTTGTAGCACAAATGTGGGAAATAATAGGGGTGTAATTGGTAGTTGAAGTCCCTGGCCTATCCTGTGTGAAAGTGCCACAATTTTCCGCATGATGTTAGCTGGAATTTCAAGCTAGACTGGGTACATAGCCGATTAGCTCCTTGCTAAGCCTACCCATGAAATCGCAACTGGACGGAACACTTTTTGCCACCGGGAACCAGTAAAAATATTGCGCCCTTTCTGGTACTATTGAGTGGCCTTTTTCCTGTTTGTCTTTTAGAGTATAGTGCTATGTTGGCATAGGATGTTGATAAATGGTAGTTCAAGTCCATAAAAATTTTCAGTAAAATAGGTTAGCGCAAGTGTCGCATGTCTTGAAGTGGCTGCGCTTGGTTGGTATGCGAGTGAGCTCCCCGGGAGCCTCATGTATCATACTTTGTGTAGGTTTAGAGGTCACCTTTTGCATAGTACTTTTATGCAATAAAAAATAAACATTTGTAATATGCAGATTGCCATTAAAGAGTATTTATATTTGTATTTTTTATACCGTAAGATTATTGCTATTACTCAATGGGCTGGTTTCTGCGAATAATTGATTAATAATCGTTTTTTACAATATTTGGTTATTTTCTGCCAGTACAAACAGGACAAATTTAAAATAATCAATTCAAAAAGGGATTAAAGCACCCAATGGATTGCATGTTTTAATGGCAAATAATGTAACCGATTACTGCTGTACACATTTTAGCTGGAACACATAATAGAACACATAATTCTTTATTATTATTATTTTTTTTTAATTACTTAATTACAGTACTGATCACCGAATGTTCGACATAGACAGGCGTGGGCCACGAGAGTAATTTGCGAGTGACACGCGTGTAATAAGCTAATGAATAACTAATGACGATGTATCTGGGGAAACTATTTGTAGGAACGTTTCTCACTGAGTTCATTGTGTCTAGGCAACAGGCAGTACTGGCCTATTTCAAACAGCTTATGGATTGACGTGATATTAAAATCGTTAAACATTGTATACACTAGTTTAATTTATATTTTGATGGTCATTTGTATTTGTTAATACAGTTTATATCAAATTCATTTTGATTCTACTTCATTCAGATATTTAGGCCTATCTAATACGGTTTACTTATTATTTAAACAAAAAATGCTGAAACATAAAAAATAATTATTGCTCAATAAAATACATTTATTCATTATCAAAAAATGAAAATTGCTTCATGGGCATATTTTGAATCATAATCCCCGACATCATGAGCACTGTAGAATGTTTCAGTAGAGAAAAAAAATACAAAACAATTAAGTACATTATTAAGGAAATTATATTTGAGACGTACTTAAAATACCACGTCTGAAACACAAGGAAAAAAAATGATTATTCATATTTAAATAATGATGAGACAGTCGTTTTAATTGACTTTACGAATGTTATTACTTATATTGTCCCTTAATACTATAAAAATACTTCTTTTGGACATAGGCCTATTAAATATCCCAAACCGACTCTGGTAGTACAGTACCACGACTCAAAACACTAAAAAATTACAAAAAGCGTTCAATTATGATTAAGATAATGATAAGACAGTTGTTATAATTTTGAACCTTAAGGAATGTTATTTACGAAAATTATATTTAAAATATCGTTACAATTACCTTTATTTGTAGACGTATTTTAAAATATCTGGTACCCTACCACGCATGAAACATGAAAATAATAATGAGACGGTCGTTTTATTTACATACAAATATTATTTATATGAATAATAAATAATATTTAGAATATCGGAGAGTGACGTATTTTAAATATTCTAAACATGAATGTGTTGGCCTGCTACGTCTGAAACCCAAACATTTACATAAATAATAATGACACAATTGTATTATTTGGAAATCGTCTTAACTCAACTTAAGATGAGTTTTAGACGATTTTCATTTTCATTTTCTAAAATTAACTATGTATTCAATTACTGTACTGCACTTCTATTCAAAACTCTACTAGTCAACCACGCCTGAAACACCCTCCGCACTATTAACAATAGAGACAAAAGAATGTATTCAGATTACGTGACAGTGCTCAAGGAAAGGTCGTAGTAGAACTCAAGTAAAAGATCGTGAATAAACACTTTACAAGCCCATGTGACCCTTCGTAGACCGCAAGTTCCGATTTTTACCAGGAAGTATATGCTGAGTAAAATCATTCACGTGTTAATTGGAGCACTCGCGGAATAATGACACTCACTTTTCACTCGTGAAACACACGCACAATACACGCGAGTAATGTTGAACGTTCGGTAGTCAGTACTGTACTATTGTGGTTGGCTGCATGGTTCTATTTTCTATTTATTCTAAATATCTGTTGTTTTGTATTAAGTTTTATTAATTTTGTGTATTTTTTTTTACGTACCTTCACAATAATGAAGTATGTCAGTGTCACTGTTAAATAAGTGTAGAACAGTATCCGAAAGAAAGTACTTATTTACTATTTGTAGGTTATAATAGCAATGTCCTTTCTACCACAATGGCCGGTCAATAACCAACTTTGGAAAAATGCAGTAACAAACGCAGGTCCTGTCTAAACAACAAATAAGGAATATGTAATTGATTACTGTATTTTCAGCAGAAACAGGCCCTCTACTACAAACTAATTAGGGTGCATGGGGGGCACATGTCCCTTCAGTGCCACTAAATGTTAAAATTTCAATGCATATATTGAAATTAGCGCTATACTCACTTATCTATTCTGGAGATGTTGTGCGCCCACACCCCCTAGTTTGAACAATTTGGATCGGCTGTAGCCTATACACTATAACATTAAATACTGAGTGGATTTAGAGGTCACATTTCTACAATGGAATAGTGGATGCTTTGTTCATGCAACATGTAGGCCGCCTAGGCCAGTCCTGTATGTACTGCACTCAGATCCAGTAATGTAGATTTTGATTTGAAAATTTAGATATTATATTATTTATCTACAACCTTACCTCAAAATATATTTTTAATTAATATGCCTAATTGAATACTTATTACCTGTAAATTCTTGTGTTTTAATTGTTGTGAGTGCTGCTGCAATATCACGTCACCAACACAGTTGGGTTTTCCCTATTGCTGGTCATGTAGGTTGGGGTCAAGTGTCACTTGAAAACTACTACTTTATTTACTGTATTGATATACTGTAGTGATATACTGTAGTATCCAGACAAATTAGGTCGAAGTAACATTTTGGAAATATAATGAAATTTTATATCTGAGAAATACAATTTTAGTAATAAAAATCAATCATGTGCATCTCTGTATTTAATGTACCCTTTCTGTTAAATGGAACAATCTATAATTTTATATAAGTCCTATTAATTTATAAACACATGTTTACATCAGATTATGTCAAAATAACAGGGAGCATGGCATACACACTACTCATAAGAGGCCTAAGGAGGCCAGCCCCTGGACATAGCTTGGGAAATCCTAAACACCGAAACAACCCAAAGGTAGTTTACCCTCATTCATGTTCATCAGAGCCAATTAGGAACCAATAAAAGATGATTAGTTTAGCATCCTGGCTTGCATGTCTTCTATAGTATTGAATAAAAAATTGAAAAAAAAATTGAAAAAAAATTCGTATTTTTAGTAAAATTAGTAGATATTGTTTGTATTCTCAATTATGTATATACTTTGAGTATCAATGCACAGCAAACAACCCAAGGGTGATATATAGTTTTAGCAAAATAAATAATAAAAATTTCCTTCTTTCCTCCCTCCCACATCACTTTTCCAGTCTAGATAGGGTGATAAACAAATAATATTTTTTATTGGGGCTTATGAATGGCCATGACATTCATAACTTTATTCATTAGTCATGACCTTATAGATGGTTTGACAATATGTTTTGATTTACTAGCTTACAAACAATAATATGCCTGAAAACTTTGCTGGTGTCCGATATAAAAAAAATTTGTATACAGCGCCCTCTGTAAACATCTGAACATAGAGCACCCTATATACTAGAAATTGCAAATTGCAAGTGAAGTGCTGCGAAGTACAACTGCATATAGATGTTCTTCGAACAAAATTATTTATGCGAGTCAAGTGAAAATAATGAATAATGAAACTATAACAAATAATATGAGACACGACCCATTGTCTATATTAGAACACTTCTCATTGGGAAACAAAGTCGTAATTTTTCATTTTTGTCAAAAAGTGTCTATAGTGTGGTAAATTATGGTTTAGGTTTTTTTAATAAAGTTTCAAAAATTTCTATGTATGTGGAAAATGTAGTTGATTACCAAAGGTTACAATTTTTATTTTGAAGACTGCATGGTCTAGGAAGTGTACATTTTTTTATGGGGCAAGTTTCCAAGGGCGGGTTTTCTAGGGGCGAGTTGACTGCCAAAGAGTGGTGCCAAAGTGCGAGCCAGCGTGTTATTTGATCACAAGTGCGAGGCATATCACAAGTGTGAGCCAGCGAGCCATGACGTCACGACAATAGATAGAGACGTTAGCCAGTTGTGTGAGGTATCGGCTGAGATTTGTGGAGTACAATTCAAAAAACAACTATAGGTCTAATAATGAATTATTGTGATGTTAAATAGACAATGTTAGCTATCAAAGATCGACGTTTTTTTTCATTGGGACCTTCGTCCCTTCAAGGCTAGGCCTATACCATACTAGCTAGTCTAGGCCTAGAGTAGGATAGGGCTAGCGCGACATGCGGACGTTGTACGAGTAGGTTAGTCTACAAACGTCGCCTAAAGTAATTGATTTTACCCGGCAGAACGAAAGAAGGAAACTCCGCTTTTCGGTCGTCTTAGGCACTCGTTTTTTGACAAACAATGACCTTTCCGAGGTCAAATTGCTGTCAAGAATATGAATTGGCTGCTTCAAAGCAATTATTTTCTTTTAAATTTATTTGGTGGAACTGCTACTAATTACAGTTGTCAGTTGGTATAGCTTTGTTAAAGATATTTATATGGCCTGTCCCATTTTAATGACGAATTAATTTCATCTTTTATAAAATTGTTATGCTTGAGATAATACAACCAGTGGCATAGCTAGAGGCTTTGGCGCCCGGGGGAAAGACTAGAAAATTGTGCCCCACTTCCCCCAATTATAATTATACTGTAATATAATACTGTGAAAAGTTGATATTGGTTGTATAGGCTTTAAGCATATCCGTACCGTACGTCCGTATCATGCACTGTAAATATAAGCACTGTTCTAGCTCCATATAGTAGGTTCTTTCTTACCAGGGGTAGCGTCAGGATTTGCCCGATGGGAAGTGGGAAGGTGATGCCCCAATGAGGGGGAAGATTTCCCTGATGAGAGCAAAGTGGGCATGGCCAAGCGTTGCTTAAAATGTTCCAAAAGTGGTCAAAGAGGCGAAGCCCCCCAAAATTGTTGACAATTTATGGGTTTCAAAGGCTTATTTAATCGATTTTATGAGTCTACTTAAATTTTATGAGTCTACTACATAAAATTTTTGTTTCTCTCCGACGAATTATGGTTTTTCTCCCTGACCGGGGGTGGGGGAACTATCCGCGAAAGGGAGCCTGGCCCACCGTCCCCCCCCCCATTGGTCGCGGTGCCCCTGTTTCTTACTACTGAAACTGCATTACGATGTTCGGAACTTTGAATACGACTTTACCATTATCCTTTTGTAGGGCTGTTGTATTTATTGCATACAGCTTGGTATTCATATTGTCTTGTAAGTTGCTGAATTTGTAACATTGTTTAAACTCGCAACTAAATTTTTGTGTACTTTTGCATCTGCAAATAAGTTAATAACATGATCAAAGATAGCAATGTTAGCTTCATCGCACTCAATACTAAGGAGTGCCAAAACAGATAATCTCACTTGTCCCAACAAAAAAAGTGGTTATTGTTTTTACTCTCATTCTCCCATTTCAGCCCCCCCACCCCACCAAACCTNNCCAAACCTGGGGCCCGGGCCACGTGCCCCCTTTGATCCCCTAGCTATGCCACTGAATACAACGTAGGCGTGAGACGTAGAAAGTGAATGCTCACGCGTGAGACTCACGCATTATGTGTGAGGGTTGGCTGGTGTACAATAAAATTGCATTCATTGATAAATAATAAACAAACAGATACAACATTCAAGTAATACACAAGAATGTCAAAGGCTTTTTTTCTCTGGTCATTTTAATAAACAATAAGGCAAATATGATATACTAAAACTGGTACTTTTAATAATAATAATAATGTAATAATAAAAATATGTAATAATGTTATATAACGCATATTGCACATTGCCCCTATGCGCTTTACAGAGAAATAATATAGGCCAACTGAGAAAAAGCAAATAACAATAAAATAGTAACAATAAAAAAAATAAAAATAATCATAATAACATAACTTTTAATACACAGTAAGACAAATATGATATACTAAAAACTGTATTACTCAAAGTTTATATAAATTATTATATTTCTAACTAGAAGCAGATGAATTGTGAAGTCAATGTATATTAATTTTTTAGGAAAATCTTATTGGCTACATACGACTGATATTATTGGGCATCTTTGTTTCTCAAAATTTCTGTGCCTTACAAGATAACACAAGTACATAAATTAACATGGTAGAGCAAAATGTGTTTTAACAAAAGAAAGAATTTATCATTATTTATTAACAAAATTAATATTTTGTTATTTTTTGTTTGATATAAAAAAAGGTAAAATAGTTTATATTATTATGCATTAAATATTTACGGTATTGTATGTTTACTAGCTCCTGAATAAGTGATAATTTTTACATTAAAAAAAATTTTTAATACAAAATATACGAAGATAAATAAAAATATATGAAAAATATAAATATTGACTCAAGGCTGTGATGTTGTTGACATTTAATTACCGAATTACATAGGTCTAGTAAATACACTGTGAACAACCCCAACCATCCCCATGAACCGTAGGTCCAGCCCCTCTTGGACCAAGCTCCTCAATTGTCATTGACACCAAAACAGCCTTGTAGAAAATACTGTATATACTCTTGTAGTACTAAAAGTTTATTTATTCACGAAGCACAAATCAACAAATACAATGCTGTTTTTCATTATGGCCGTGAGATACCTTATTTACAATTAACAAATTACACATAAAGGTACATCATAAAAAGCAAAAGTTAAATGCAGAAATTAAATAAAATAGATACAAAATATAATTATTAAACAGTACTATATGCAAAAGTCAAGTACTGTAATCTATACCTAACAAAGGCAAAATAAACTATGGAAAAGAAGAAAATCCATTCCAAAAAAGTAAACTGTAAATTACAAAAAGGAATGTAAAATATAAATAAAACAAGGCAAGAAAACATCAAAATAGGGATTTATACAATGTTCATACTATTAAATTTTGGTTTCATTAATTATTAGTACTGCCTACAAATCTGGTTTTTAAAAATACTTAAATTGGTAGAAGAATGAACATCAGGGCTTAATTTATTCCATTCGTATAAGGCAACCCGCGTATAAGATGACCCCCGAATTTCAAAAGATCTTTGAGAAGTTTTATATGTCAGGCGTATAAGACGACCCCCCCCCCTTCAACCATCAGAAATCATTTTTTTGCTGCTTTATATGGTCTTGATACTGCATCTACCTGGCTCAAAAAATTAGCCAGATGCAGGGCTAATCTATTAAATAGTACCATTTTATGGGATTTTAAATGTCCATCAAAGCTTATTTCTCAGTATTTAAAATTGCGTTAATACCTAGGCCTTCTAACATTTTAGTAGCTTCATTGAAGTAGTATATAGAATTAAGGATAGTCTGCACAAAAGACAAATGATGAATTTTAAATCTAAAATTAGTATGTCGCAAGTGTAAAAGTAAAACATGTTTTTTGATTGTAATGTGCTATTTTAAGCCTCAAATTATACGCAAGTATATATGGTACCAATTGCAATACCATTTTTTTTTTCATTTTAAAATACAATTGTTGTCATTAAATTAGTATTATGTTGTCATTATTTTTTTATTAATTTCACCATGATAATTTTATCTCAATTACACTACTGCATCCCAGTGTGACATAAGACACCAAATATTTAAACCATTACCATTCCTTCAGTTAAACATTTGCTCCATATCAAAAAAGGAGAAGGACTTTAGTAATTATATATTTTCATAGTGTTGTCACCATTATCTACTATCGCAACTTTCCGTGGATGCTGTGAAATTAAGCATACTCCACTTGGATCAGTGATTCCATTTTCTGGTTTATCAATTCTTTTGATAAATTTTCCATCACTACTAAACAGCTGTAGTTTGTTATCACTTGCTATAATGATGTTGTCATCCTCATCCACTACTACCTCTCCAAAACCCACAGTACGATGCTCATCACCTTTGAGAAGCACTTTCATGAACCTTCCTTCATTATCAAATTGCTGCAATCTGTTGTTGCAAGACTTTTTAGAATCTCTCTCTAATGCAAGAATATTTCCTTGATTTTTAAGTGCAACATCAACTACTCCTATTGTTTTTCCTGGTGACTTGATCTTTCTGATCATTGTGCCGCTTTCGATGTCAAACACGCACACGCATTCATTTTTCCAATCTGCTACATACACAGCATTTGATGCCTCATCTACATGGATTCCAGCTGGATTCCCCAGTATTCCCTGACCAATTGATTTGATCACCTCACCATTCATCTTAACTATTTTGATGCATCCGTTGCCTTCGTCACTGACTGCTATCTTACTCTTCATTTTGTACATACTATATATTTTCACACCTTGTGGTATTGTAACCTTACCCATATATTTCCCTGATTGCTTGTACTTGTATATTTTGTTTGTCCGACATGAAACCAGCAAACAATCATCTTCACACTTAACTTGACCTGTGTAATTATATGTCATGTTTGTGCATAATTGAATGGTATTCACTAATCCTTCTTTCTCTACTTTGATTATCATTGGAGACTGCTTGATTAGTTCACCATCAACACTCACATTCAGTCTGCAAACACCTGGACTTGGGCATTTTCCTCTCACAACATAACCTCCATCATTGTCGTTTTTAACTTGAGTGATTTTGGTTTCTCCTGTAGGATGTGTCCATGTTGCTTTCAGTTGATAAGCATAATCACAATTGTCCATTTTGATTACTCTTGCAAAAATATCTTGATCTTGGATCACTCTAGATGTCACTCCCTTTAGTGTCAGACAGTCTGCTTTCCTTGCTTGTATTATATTTCCAATGTGATGCTGCTGCAGTGATGACATTTCACTGTTTTTAATGAAGTGAATTTGTCCATTATCCTTTGGCTCTGTTTTTGGCAATTCATTGATTCTATCCCTCAGTGCTATTATAAATGTTTCACTCAATTTCACTGCTGTTGCTTCATCACTCTTTAATAACTGTTTAACAAAACTCAATTTTGTATTAACTTCAGATATTTGTGTTTTTAATTCATTTAATTGTACATCATTTTTCCGCTTTTTCGTTTCATAAATTGTTTCTACTTCTTTTTTCATTTTGTTTCCATTCTCATTGACTTTGTTGATTATATCTTGAATATGGTTATCAATATCCATCAAACTCTTATCTCTGCATTTTTCTAAATTTGTGGCATTGGCAACAACTTCCCCCAGGCCATCTTGTAATTTCTTTTGAAAGCAGTGGGCTTTTTTCTCCAATGTTGCCCAAGTTTGTTTAAATGTTTGGAATGCTTCTGATATGCTGATTGGTTTGTGTTTCCCTTCCCACCCCTTGTGCTCTATTAATGTGCAATGAATGCATATTGTAGTTTTACAGTCTTGGCAGTACAACTCCAAAGGTTTAGAGTGAAGTGAACACAAAGGAGGATTTAACAAAGCAAAGTCCTGTGGAGTCATTGAGCGCACATCCTCAACTGCATGTAGCTTATGATTTGCAGACAGTGGCAGTAATTTATGATGGTCACTACAAGAAGAGCACAAGTAGTGTCTGCAATCCTGACAGTAGTATTCTTCTACTTTTCCACAAACACATTTCATGATCTGATCTCTTTTATCATATTGTTCAAATGTTTCTAATAAGTTATTCAGGAAAGTGTTTGGTGGAAGCTTCTGAAGCCCACCCTCTGGAAGGGGATATGATTTTGTGCAAGTTGGACAAGTCAGCTTACCCTTCTTCTTGACCCAGTCTTCCAGACAGGTCAAACAGAAACTATGCAGGCAGTTGAGAGATTTTGGATTCTGGAGTCTCTTAAAGCATATGGCACACTCTAAGACTTTCTCATCAATATCTTCCAGAAACTGATGGAATTTGCTTGTAGCCATCTTGACACAATCCTGTAAATGATTAATATAGTACTAGTTAAATTTTTCAATGTCACAAATATACATTATTTTAAAAACTGGCAATCCTATTCTGTATGCTAATGATAATGTAGAGTATATCTGTCCATATGACCAACATGGTACATGATGGCCTGCTGAAAGTTATTAATTACAGAGAGTCTTAAAGAAGATAATTAATATAATATTAAAAAAATATATACCTGATATTAATATTTAAGAAGCAACTGGTTCAAAATCATTCAGTTTGTTTCCTTTATTAGACATATTGTATGTATTAGTACTAGATAGTAGGCCTAGCACTGTTGAGGTAGTATTCATATCCAGTAATGAAGATTTTGATTCTTCATTAAATCTGAGTATACCAAAATTATTTATTGATTTATTTAATGCTTTAATTGAATGCTTATATAGAGACATTCCATATCCTAAAAATGATGATGCAATAAGTATTTAGGTAGAAGCTTAGATCTAGTTGATTTAGGGTATTTTGACTTTGCTCATAATGAATCCAGTGGATCCCAAGTGAAATGTTTTCATCTAAGGGACATCAAAATGGCTGTTTTTATACAAAATTATACATTTTGGAGAAACAATTGTATTTCAGGTAAAATTATTCAGAGTTCACTTTGGTACCAAACTGTTCGGAAGACTCATGTTTCTATTCGCTATAATACAACATTTTTTCCACTAAATACCAGGAAAAAATTTATTACCAAAAACTGGCATTTTTGACCAAAAAACCTGTTTTTAAAATAATTTTCTTGTTTTCAGAGCCTTTGAATATTTCCACTTATTCATTCATGACAAATGATAGCTAAAGTGACAATAATGACAAATAAAAATATTATCAAAAAATAATCCAGTAAGCTATGTATAAATATACATAAATATCCTTGGCACATGTGTTGTGTGCCTAAAGAAAGAATAATAATAATAATAATAATAATAATAATAATAATATATAACTAGTTAAACTTTAAAATAAATCCAGAAAACTCTGTAACTCATTTAACATTTGTGAGGAGAGTTGAATTTGATGTCATATCACTCTAAAAACATATATTTCTATTAGCTGTAATGAAACATTTTTTCAAAAAATTAATATAAAAATATTTATTAGCATAAGACCTGTTTTTAGGGCATAACCTAGGCCTACTAGCTACTTTTTACAATTTTTTTTATTGTAGGCCGGTCACGCCAAAATCGGTCCCCCGGACCGATTTTGGTCGCCATTATTAGTCCGGGGGACGGATTTTGGCCGCTATAATTGTCCGCGGGACCGATTTTAGCTGATTTTAGCCGCCAAAATCAGTCCTCCTTGGATAACATTTGTCCGACTAGGAATAGTTTTGGCTTAACCTAAGTCGTTCCGCCTACGCCTGCTACAGTGCTACACTATACGAGTTTGGTTTCAACCAATCACAGCACAGTGAATGCTTACTTATCGGTCCGCATAGAGAGAAAATCTTTTGGCGGGATAATGAAAATTGAACGTCCAATCAAAAGAAGACGATGGCTGAAGTCCAATTTGAAGCCTATTTTGCATACGTCGTCGTATGTAAGGTACAATACAGTATTCCGATTTCATTTGACAGCAGAGGTTCATTGCTCGTTGGGGTTAGTAGTGAAGTGGTGGCATTTTACGGTCTTTTAAAGAATGTCAACAGATATATATTAATTGATAAAAGTAGTTTGAAGTTTACTCTTAATCATTTCACATTACCTCCTTGTATTAATTACTTTTTTGCTATTTTTGTTTTCTATTTCTTTCATTTTTTTTCATTGCATTGAACCGAAAACAATTACAATATACAGTAAAAGGATAAAAACTGTCTGAAAAACAATACAATAAATGTTGGTATCTCATTCCCCACAAGGGCCGGCAGCATAACTAAAAAGTAAAATAAATTACTGTCGAAGTGGAACGCCATACGATGTTAGGAATCGGAGAACAACAAAACAAAGAAAAATGTTTTCGACGGGCACGCTACACAATTGAACTGCAGAGAGCCTTAATTTAGGGGTAGTCCCGGCGGAAGGAAAAACAACAAATCGTCTGTGTGTTGTACGAGACTAAGTAGGGCCTATTAATAAAATGTCTAATCAAAGCTACTGTTGAACCTCGCTTTTTATTTATTTATATCCACTCTGGTCTACCATTGAGCACTCTGCTTGTAATACTTACTTGCGATAGTTTATTTCAGTTTCATATATATATATATGTACATATATATATATAGGCCTATTATATATATATATATATATATCTTTGTTTTTGTCATTGTATTTAATAGATTTTTTTTTCTTATATTGATGTTTTATACTTCCTTTTGTAATTGTTATTGAATGCACCATCATTCTGATGTGTTGCGATGATCTAAAAACCTATGTACAATAAAGTTCAGTTACTTTACAATTATTCTCCCTGACGATTTGTTGTTTTTCCTTCCGCCGGGACTACCCCTAAATTAAGGCTCTCTGCAGTTCAATTGTGTAGCGTGCCCGTCGAAAACATTTTTCTTTGTTTTGTTGTTCTCCGATTCCTAACATCGTATGGCGTTCCACTTCGACAGTAATTTATTTTACTTTTTAGATATGCTGCCGGCCCTTGTGGGGAATGAGAGACCAACATTTATTGTATTGTTTTTCAGACAGTTTTTATCCTTTTACTGTATATTGTAATTGTTTTCGGTTCAATGCAATGAAAAAAAATGAAATAAATAAATGATTTACTGAAATAAATGATTTACTGTCTAGCCTAGTATTTAAACCTTCTCATTATTCACGCTATATTGATGACATATTTTTTATTTGGGAACATGGTAAAGATAAGCTTATAGATTTTATATCTATCATTAATAATTATCATCATAGTATTAAGTTCACTGTTGAATATTCTAGTGAGTCCATTCCATTTCTAGATGTATTAGTTGGCAGAAACGGTGGCAACATATCTACATCCATATACTACAAACCTACAGACAATCATCAATACCTTGACTTTTACAGCTACCATCCTATCACTCTTAAACGGTCTATCGTGTACAGTCAAGTGTCTCAGACTCAAGCGAATCTGTTCAGACCCTACAGACTACCAACAACAGCTGTCTCGCCTCACTACTAACTTTTTGAATTGTCACTATCCCCTCAAACTAATACTATCTGCTATATTAAAAGCATCTTCTAAATCTCGCTCAGACCTTTTATCTTACACCCATAGACCTATCCCCGATACTCGTATACCTATGGTATTTGATCACTGTCCCCCTATCAAGTCTCTCGTCAACTCCATCAAGAATGACTACAAGACTCTTCAGAAGGACCCCAATATATCAGAACTCTATCTTCATCCTCCGATTCTAGCTCAACGCCAACCCCCTAATCTTAAATCTCTTCTCACCTCCTCCAGTTTACCCTTGGCTAATCCTACTCATGGTAACATGGCTTGTAACAACAGGCGATGCCAACTATGCACTATAATTGACACATCCGATAGATTCAAAGTTCCTGGTATCAACATCATCATCCATCCTCCACCACTTAACTGCCATGCCTCCAATGCTGTTTATATTATATATTGCGCCATATGCAACAAAGGTAACTACGTAGGTGAAACGGGATGTAAACTCCGTTTAAGAATCAATAATCACAAGAAATCTATCAGGGATAAATTAAAGGGTTTTTCCGTAAGTGAACACTTTAATTCTACAAACCATTCCATCAAAGATTTAAGGTTCATTGTTATAGGATCTAACTACCGTTCCCTTAAGGAGCGACGATGTACTGAATTACGTTGGATCCTTCATCTGAAATCACACATTAATGGATTAAACAAAGACCTAGGCTTCTGTCTCTTATACACATCTAGATGTGTATAAGAGACAGAGATCATCCTTGAGGCTTCTAAAAAACAAATCGCAACTGATGACGCACACTCGAGACATATATCCTGTATATTATACTTTTTTAATCACTATATGATCTACAATATGTACTTTTACAAAACCCGTCACTTTTACGACACAATCATGATATTTTTATTACATAACTGTATTTTAATGCTTCTAATTGCCGTATATATACCATTATATATTTTCATCAACTATTTTGTTTAAATCCAATACAGTATATCAAATGACCAATGAATTTATATTTGTTAGTAGGCAAACAATTTATATCTGCTATCTGACCAAACATAAACAATTAGTTATTCCATTAATCACCTTATTTTGTCATGCTAATATTTATGCCTAATTACTTCCTTGATGTGCCAATATACTCTATGCAAAGTTTGTTGTATGTTCAGTTCACACTGAAGAA